ATCCTTTTGATATAAACAGTAATACTAAAATCCCTTGTAATTATCTGTGATAGGTGTGCTTTTGTTTTCCCCTAAGTGATGATTTTTGCCATTCTGGGTACTATCTTTCGAGTATTGTTACACAGCAGGCCGTGGTTCAGTTCATGATCAGTAACATCAGAACTCTTGCTGTTGGATGACTGAGCATCAATTGAATCTGGACCAATTTGGCATGTTATTTCTCTATTTAGTATAAATACATGTTATATAGTTATGTTGGTACTGCATATTTATAATGGTTTCAAAAGGATGATCAGTATCTGCACAAAAATTTATTGAAATGCATGATTTATTGAAAATTTATCGAAAAAACCACTAAATTAAGTCAAAGCTACTTGACCAAAGATGAACTGGCAAATTGAGTTTATATGCCACAATATACCACATCAGAGCTGGGTTTCCAATCAACACAAGCTTTTTTAAGTCATGAAGCCAGGCTGACTGTATTATTGAACCACGGCCTTCAGGCAATACTGTAATTAGATCTCTTTATTTACAGTTAAAATTAAATATACTTCTTAATGAAAAACCCTGCGTGAAGATGGATTCATTTGCAGTTGATAAGTGTTTTGAATATTTAGACTGCTGCATCTGATAAATGAAACATGTTATATATTCTTAACCATTAGCATTATGCAAAAATGTACAGCATGCTATATTGAACTTATTCCATTTGATTTTATAAAACCAGGGGAGTATAGTTAACTGTATTCTTTGTACTTTTTTCTAATCAATGGAAACTTTTGAAGCTTCAAAATTCTTTTTATTTTCTTGGAGTAAATGGGAATGTTTTAAGTTCTAAGAATGATAGGTTGACCATGAAAACTATGTTTGCTTTCAGAGAGAACAGGAATTGAGAATGGGTGATATGGGTCCTCGTGGAACAATAAACATGGGAGGTAGGGATCTGAAGGAAAAAGGCTTCTGTAATGTAAAATTTCTTTTTCTTTGGGACTGTACATGATACTCAAGCACTATTAATTAGTGACAACTACTGGTAAAAAGGAGTAAACAGTATTAGGAAATAAAAAAATCTCACATATTTTGCTTCCAAACAGCTGTGGTTTTTTTTCCCCCCCCAAGGTGTATCTTTATTGTTTTGTCCACCTGTGGGAGAAAAATAAGATGTGCAAGCTAGGAGAAACAAAAAGGTGATGCTCTAGAAATTACCTGACACAAAAGAGGAATTTTCTGTTCAGAAAGTATTTGGCGTTCTTTTGGAGGGACCATCTGTTCAGAGAAGTTGGGAATGTAATTGCATGCAGTGAAATGATGTAGACCATAAAATTGGTGAGCTCTTGTTGATGTACCTGATAAAAGATTAACGAATAACGTGGTTGATGTTCTACCAATTTATTGCAAGTCTGTATTTGCAAATATTCTCAGTTCACTTTTGTGACTGCTAAAAGCTGTTACCATGAAGTCTAGAAAAGTACATTCTTAATAATTAGAGCTTGCTACCTATATGTAGACTGAAACAGTTTGGAATCTTATTGAGAATATCTGCTTTTAAACAAGACTAAAATTTAAAATATTTCTTTAAAAAAAACAAGCATTTGTACTAAACTTTATTAACTGTCAATATATGTTTCTTGGAACCTTCCTGATGTTAATTTAAATTAAGATGATAATTTGAAGAAAAGTTAAGATTATTTTTGTGTATTTTAAATTTGAAAATACGTACAAAACGTCGTAAATATTGTTGCTTGACCTTTTGAGTAATGTGAATTTATAGACTAATGAATTTGCTTGATTCAGATTTTAAAATACAGTATTCGTCATTTCCTTGCACTTACTAATTGAGATATATTTATAGCTGCAGAATAGAAACAGGCCTTTTTTTTCTGTCAACATTAAGAGCTCTAAAAATATTTCTGAAGGAAGACATTGTGAAGTTATCTACAAATAATAAGCTGAAGTATAAATTGTCATATTTTTTAAATTTTATAGTTGTACTTTTTGCATATTATTGCAGTCTGCTTCTAAAATTTCATTTAATTAGGAGACTTGTAAATATTGATACTGTGCCAGTTGTCTAGATCCACAAGATACACTTTTTACATACAGATTTTTGGTGTGTATTTATAGCAATCACTTCACAGACCTTCTCAGGTTTTAATACTTCACAGTGTTGTTCATCATAGGCTTGCTTTGTAAACTTTGTGCTATGACTTGATACGAATGCTTTTAGAAATGGTAGTTCCAAAAGGAGTTACAGTAACAGTGAACTATTATTTTAGAATGGGGAAAATATCTATAGCAAGATAGGTAAAGATAGTGTTTGTTTCCACAATATCTGGATTTTATCTCACTGGAAAGCTTTTTTTTTTTTCCTTCAGCCCCACCACTACAACCAAAAATCCTGACCCAAAAAATCTGCAGTAGACCTTTAATTGTTCATCTTAGCATTGTCTCTTGACATTTCTCTTGGAATTTTTAGCTCGTCTTTACTTGTGCCATTTGTGACTTACCATGTGGGACAGTGGGGAGCTGGAGTATCTTCAGTAATGGAAACACCTGCATTATAGTGTTATTAGAAAGCAAGGTACTTCTGATTTAGTTAGTTTTGGACTGACTTGTGCAGGACCACTCATTTTTACATTGTTTTGCAGCGAACAAGTTCTGAGAGAATCTCTGTGCCTCATCATAGCACTTAACTGAAGCTGTAATGCTAAGTGCAGCTGATAAACTTTTCAATATGGGTATTTTTGGGGGGAACTTGATTGACTATACGTTGTCGCCAGCTCTGCCAGACCTTGGCATGTGCCCTTCAGACACCTAGAGTGTATTTTTTCAGCACTCCAGACAGCAGAAAAAAAGACGTTTTTTCAGTGCCTGTATATTGTAGCATGACTGCTTTTCATCTGTTGCTGAACCTGGTCCAGTGAATTAACTGCTAACATCAATGTCCCACCAAAAAGAACTGGCAAGCGCCTGTTTGGCTCTTAAGGTCTGCTTTGGAGCTAGGAGGGCCTCTGAGGCACAGCTAAAATGCCGTTGTGTCCTCTCGCTGAAACTGCAGGGCCCCGCTCTCTCCTTGCATTACACTCCCTGGTTGTCCTCCTGTCAGAGCTGACTCTGTCTGAAACTCCCTTAATAATATAGAGGTTTGATAATGTAGGTCACTATTTGTCACCCAGGAAGCAATATGGGTGCATTTGTATGATACGGAGGATAAGAGCTTCAGTTGAAGGATAAGGGACCGCTGCCTGTGTGAAGCCAGCTGGTTAAGTTTAATTAGGCTGGTAAGCAAGCCAATAACAGATAATTAAGCATTGATTGCGCTAGGAACTGATAGTCCTGCAGAGTACTTCTTGCCTCTGAAAATAAAGGTTTCTCCTTATATTGGCAGTTTAGCCGCCTTCTTTTCCTTCTATATTTGGTCACTCAATGGATGACACTAAAAAGCAGTTTTAGGGCATAGACAATTGTAATTCTCCTGAATCGTAGCTCAGTCTTCTACCTGCTGCATGAATTGATCGTGCTTGTGGGTAGGTCAGAAACATCCAACTTGTGCATACCTTTGTTTTGGCTTAGTGTCATAGGGAGAGGTCTTGGAGTTTCTCTTTGCTAAGCTCAAATGAGTTCTGTTTTTCAACAGTATAGGATTTTTCTCTATTGTTCTAATAAACTTGGTTAGCACTTTACCTGTGCTCCTGTGTTGCGTGGATTGTTTTTGCTAAGCAGCTTGCAGTTGGCATAATGTATATGATGAAGGTCTTCAGGTCTTCAATTTTAGTAGCAATCTCTTGGATGCAGTGGTTTCACTGACAGCTGTGATATGTGTACTCGGGGCAGGTAATATAGATGCAATTTTGCATACCTGCAGATAGCCATAGTACTGTATCTGTGCTAAATGGCCTGCTTACAGTCATGTTCATTACTAAAGAAGTTACAGTTGTGATGGGAAGCAAGGTTGATTTTTGAAATAAAAGTAACAAGTTTATTAGTCTAGCAACACGTCAGTTTTTTTGATCCTCCTGTTTGTTGTCATGGCTTAAAACATAGGCTAGATTCTAAAGCCATGTCGTCTTCCATTATCAAATTTTGGATGCATGCTTTTGGCTGAAAAGAGTGGATTATTGTTGGGGGGAAAGAAGGGGACTGCATGACCACCAGTCTTGATGATATTTCATAATAGCAGATGTAAATAATACACATAATCAGACTTTTTTCTTTCTTATAACAATGTGAGAAATTGTGATGAAGGCAATCTTACCTACCTCGAGTGTGTTAGTGGGTACTGGCAGAGGTAATAGAGCAATATTACAGCTAAATGATCTCCTGAAAACATGTTTCTAAGCTTGTCTTCTACCTCTTGCTGTGAATCAGAATTTCAGAGGAGACTGTTCTGTCACTTTCTTTTCTTACAAAATTTCGTAGTTTTCTGGTACTTACACTGTAATAAATTATATTTCAATGCAAGATTTATTTGTGACATTACAAATAATTTATTGTGAAGTTGAGTGCCATCTTTGGTATTGCTTTTAGACATTAGACTACTATACTGTAACTATATACAGTTAACATAATACTGGTAGAATAGTTCTTGCAAATGTATATTTGTATGTTATGATCCCTAAAAAGCCAAGTTACTTTATAGCTGCCAATTAGTGCAAAATCACTTTGGATTTTTTGAGAATTTATGGTGTGTATACTGCATATATTTGTATGCTATACAAACATTACAGTTCCTGCACACTAGCTGTACAGCAATATTTAGCTGTAAAGTTCAGGATTTTCAAACAGACAAGGCAGATCATGTCACACAAAATAATAGGGATTAATGAAAATCTGTTTAAAAGCAGATGATTGAGATAAATGTACAGTCTCAAAGAATATAATTTTTTATTTCGAGTATTGGAAGTTTTGTACATTTGGCTTTTTAAGTATTGTAAATTGTTTGTTTATTCTTGTAAAATTCAGATAGGACAGCTCTAAGTGTAGATTGTTTTGCATAGATGCGTTTAGCCCAGCACCTGCTGGTAACCAAGGCCCTCCTCCAATGATGGGTATGAATATGAACAACAGAGGAACTTTACCTGGCCCTGCAATGGGTCCTGGTCCTTCCATGGGACCAGAAGGAGCTGCAAATATGGGAACACCAATGATGCCAGATAATGGAACAGTGGTAATGTATCACAAATTTAATTACTTTGAATAGCTGTCATGTCTCATGGCCCATTTCTGTTACCAAAGATATTTTCACACTGAGGAAGAGTGTGGTACATGTTTTGAATCTGTTCATGGAAATAATTTACAAGACAGAAGAGAAATCTTTATTTGACATTACAATTCCTACTTTCCTTAGGAAGAGGGTGAGCTCTTTGATAAGTAAGCAGGCTTTACATTTATATTAGAATACGTAGCACTTGTGGCAAAACTTTGCGTGTATGACCTGTTGTGAAAAACTCTTTGAGAGAAGGAAATTACTTCTGTGAAATGAAGGAACATCATACCAGAGTAATCTGTAAATTTAGGCATTTGCTGTTTTTTTCTTTTGTGAAACTAAATTCTGTATATTGGCTTGTTGGGGTTTTTGATGAACAGTTTAATGTTGGAAGAGATGTAGTGTGAAGATATCTTTGTGTAAATTACTTAATTTTTTTTTTAAAGCAACTTTAGTGCTTTTGTACTTCCTTTCTAACACTGTTGTAAGCATGAGATAATGACAGTAATTACCCCACTTTGAAAATAAATATGCCAACAGCTGTTAGAGATAACTGTCATATCAATACAGGAAAAATAATATTGCCCAGTTGCCAAGGGTGGTAGAGAATGTCTTGTGTACAACTGGATTTTTTTTTTTAATTAAGAGTAGATATGCTATTGGAATGCAGTTAGAGCACTAGTCATTTTTGCTCTATTCTCATAGCCAGTTACTTTTCCTAGCTGTAATGTCTTATGTAGAGAAACAACTATATAATTTTTAACCTCATCTTTACATATTTTTCAATATTATTCTGTAAACGGATATTTGGGATGTTCTAGTGGTGGTGTGATATAAAGGAGTATATAGTATAACCAGTGGTTCCATTATAGTTTTATTGGAACACAGAAGCATTTTGTAGCAGTATTTTATTTTTTTGTTATATATGCCTTCTCAAAAGCATTCATCTGCGACTGAGCAATCTGTAGAATGAAGTATGGACAAAATACTTTCTTACTTAGAGGACAATGAGGTTTTGATTGAGCACAAAATACATAATGAGTTTGGTCTTTACTAGTTAAAGGAGAGGCTCTTACCTTCACATCATAGGAGCCAGCTCATTTTATCAATCGTATCGTTTCTCACAGAGTAGGGAGGATGCTTTTCACAAAGTGCTGCTTTCAGAGATGCTTTTGCTGGAGACCACTGTGTTACTGGTCACCTCTGGAACATTCTTTTGTGATTATATAGACACTGAAAAAAGAGGTGTAATGAAAAGAATGTGATGTTGTAAATCATGGTTATTTATCTCAAAATGTTGTTTTTCTACAAAAAGTCATTCCAGGTATGGAAATGTAGGGAATATACTGACACTTCAAAATACACTTTAAAAAAAATATTTTTTTTTTAACTTCCATTTTCTTCTTTATGCTACTGAAGGACAAATCAGAAACTTTTTTTCCCCCCCCCCCATTTTCAACTTTCAAAGGTTTTAATTTGGAAGGCAAGTCCCTACAGAAAGGCATAGCCTTACTGTATTTTTCCTCTTGTTGGAAAGACACATTAAAGATCCTTTGAGGGCTGTCTGCTAAACCACTGTAAGTGTTAGTTTCAGTTTCCGCTGAGGGAAATGAAGAATATGCTTTATAGACCAGAAATGCAGTTTTTATTTTTTAATTTAGATTTCTTCCTGAAGTCTTATGGGGGAAAGTTGGAACAATCATCTTTTTGTTCCACTGCAGTCTTTTGAAACAGATTATTTTTCAACATAACATTTTAAAAATAGCTTTTTTTACCCATACTTTATTGTAGATGGAGAGTTACTGCAGTTTTCCCATTAGCTAGAGAGAGGGTATCCTTGTTGGAAAGAGGACTTGACTTTTTGTCCAAAGTCAAATGGTAAAAATTATCACGAATATGTGATAAGCTGTTTGTTGAAATTCATATCCATTGCTAACAATGTGGCATGAGTTAAATATTTTTTAATAATTTTTAACCAGTGCTGTAGATTTTAAGGTACTTTGGGGCACTAATAGATCTTTACACAGCTCTTGAAGTAACTTTTCTTATTCAATGTTAAATATTAAACAATGGGCAAATATACAACCACGATCTAAGTTGCAGAGATTTTTATCTATATAGATATAATGCTGTTTTTAAATAATATATATGTGAATTAACAGACTCTAGAATTGTTGAACTCTACTACTATTACTGGAGTTAGACTTTCAGAAGATTTCTTCTCTGATTCAGACATATTCAAGATTAGCACTTTATTTATGTTCTTGTTGAACCCTGAATACCTGGGCAGTTAATGTAAATCTTTGTACAGAAGGAACTTCTTCTGAAAGCATAACTGTCCTCAACAGGTGAATGATGCATTATTTCAAGATCTGACTGTACCAGATATCTGTGCTTTTAAAGTGGTTATGTTATATTGATTTAATATTTTAAATTTCATCACATGGGGTTCTATTTAAACACTTCCGTAAATACTCTGAACTATAAGTGCTCAGATGCATGTCTTCTCTTTTAGGTCTGTTTATTTGCTATAGCTAAATACATTTGTTTAAGCACATACACCTTTATTAATTTCCTTTATTAAGGAAAAGAAATGTGAAACATTAACTGGATTTTCATATTATATTGATAATTCAGATTAAACTTTGATATATATCAAGTTGTTTTTAAACTAAGCATAGTTCAGTTGTGCATTTTGCCACTAGCTGGGTCAGTTTATTTGGACTGGAGTTTGAAAGTCTTAACTAAAGATTCCTAGTGCCATACAAAAGGCTGACTCCAGGTAGTGTGGACTGAAATATCCAGAGATATGTGGATATATGTCTTCAAGTTATACTGCTATTAAAAGAAGAAACCTGCAGTCTCTAGAAATACAAAAGCTGATGTTTTTTCCTAGTTTGACGTTTCTGTGTAATTTATTTAAGGGAGAAGCATTGTAGTTGGTATGTAAGGCAGAATAGGGCTCAGGTATAAAATTATTGTTTGCTGTCTCTTTTGTTACGTAGAGAATATGTATCACTTCAGATGTGCTTGAAAGGATGAAGTTACATTCTGCACCAGAGTTGGTCTTAATACTGAAGTTTTTAATTTTTAATTTACTTTAAAAAGTTGGAGCATAACATTAGCACTCTTTGATTTCCAGCTCTTTTTCCATAATAACTAATTGAATTGCTCCTTTCTTCCCTCTATGTGTGATCCTGATTCTGCTGGACTATCTGCTGAACTTCATGACAACATCACTTGTGGTTTTTTTATAACTCACATTTGGCATGTTCCAAATGGACTTGTATTAGCATAATGAGAGATTCCCTCAAGGAGGTCCATCACAGATGGGTTCACCTCTGGTTAGTAGAACGGGCTCTGAAACTCCTCAGCCGCCAATGAGTGGTGTAGGTGCCGTGAGTGGTGGACCTGGTGGCTTTGGTAGAGGAAACCCAGGGGGCAACTTTGAAGGACCTAACAAGCGTCGCAGATACTAAAACTTATTTCATTCCTTACTGTTTAGAAATTCCAGTGAAACTATACAGTGATATGCCTTTATAATTTTAGCTGTTACCTGAAAACGGTTTTATTGTTATTGTAGTCTTTAAAACAGTTTCTTTTGTAAAACTTTTTTTGTATTCAGTCATAGGCTTTGTAGTATAGAGAAAAAATGATGCGGATCATTATGTAAGGCAATGTGTTTGTGACTAGCAAAATACAATGTGTGACTATGCTGTAAAACGTGCAGTTAACTGATTACAATAAAATATAAAAATCACTTGAAAGGATCTTGGGAATGTTATTACTAATACTGGGTGAGAATAATTTTATGCTTAATTATAAGTGGCATAATTTTCATTCTTAATGTAGTTTCTACTGTGTGTCAAGAAAGTTCCATTCTTAATAGTGATTCTGTTTACTGCATGTTGCAGTATGTATTATGAACAATTTATAATACAACTGGTTTTGTTTCGACTTTTGAGGAGCATCAAATTTTACACAAACTGTTCTCAAGGATACTGTGTCCTTATATCTCAGTCTCCCTTTGCACACTTAGTCACAATAGGCTTATCAACAGAGTATATCCATTAATCTGATTATTGGAAAATGTAACTTGGGGAAGAAACCTCTGGAAAAGGAATCTGTATGTATGCTTTATTCATAACAGTATGAATGAATTTACCTAACCCATACTTCTACAGAAGAAAAGTTGTTGTTTCATATGTGTGTTCTACTGATCATTAAAGTATCTTCCCATTGCAAGGGAAAGAGACATTTGTGCAAGCTGGTTTAAAGCCTTCCACTGTGTAATGCATCATTATAAGTATACGTTTCCCCTAATGGCTGGTTTGAATAGAAACAAGTCTGTTTCCTAATTAAACAGTTAATAATTGGTGGCAAGTACATGTTTTTCAGTTAAAATAATTGTTCATTTATAGTAGAGTAATATGCATTTAGAAGGATTGCATGAGTATTCTTGATAAATGTTTTACAAAAATGATGAATTTGAAAAATACACGTTTCCAACACAACTCTGGCTAGATTTGCTGATTGAGTCTTAAGATAAAACTGATGGAAAAGCTAGTAGAAAGCTTATTATGATTCAGATTTTGTCAGTCATGGAAGATGATGGAAAAGACCTATTGGCTCTATTCCTGCAATGGCAAGAAAGTAGGAACAGTTTTGGTTAGTGTTGCTTTTTTCCTGTCCAAAATAGTTGTAAAATATTAGTGTTCTGTTTTTGTCGGTTCAACTCATGTTTTCAGAAATAGAAATTGCTAAAATTTATCTGCATGAACAGTGATCCTAAATCGATTAAAAATTGATTTGAGATAACCTGATGCCCTGCTTATATCAAAATTGTATGTACATAGCTCAAAGCATGGGATGCAGGCAGCAGAGAGAGCATGTATGTGTTACTTCTTAATATAGCAGTGATCAATTGAATTGTGAGCAAATGGGTAACAGGAAAATTGCTGCATTGCTGGCATTTTGGAATTATATTTCATTTGCCAGTGTTCTATGGCTTAAGATAGAGATTGTTCTCATGCAATTCATGAGTTACCATGTGACATCTGTAACTATTAAGCATTTTCTTCTAGACGGTCTTTAATGTTGCCCTTTTTTGCTCAACTTGAGTTAGATGCCACACTTTATAATTTGTAATGCAAGAGTGAGTTAGATTTAAAGTCTGAATTACTCTTTCCCCTACTCATATGTATCATGCTACAGCACTCGTTCTTCAAAAACACCCTGCAACTGGTTTTATTAGCCCACTATTCCTAAAGCTCAACATTTGGGAAAATAGCTGTCTTTTTTCAGTAGATGTAAACTAGTGTTTGCATGTAGCAACTACTTAATTTCTCTGCTTTGGTGTACTGCATTCAGTTGAAAATGTAGTTTATATCTGTGTCTAGTAAGGTGTCTAAATATTAGATTACTTTTGTCTCATTTTCTGCCTTTTTATGGGGACTGAGAAAGTACTGGTGCGAGTTGATAATTCTAAACTGTAAATCTGTAAAGCAAACGTTTTGAATATAACTTGAACTAGTTTCAAGAGGTCTGTTCAATTTTTCAAAGGAAGAGGTTGTGTCATTCAGGCCTTCTGGCCAACTCCGGTATATTTGTTTAGATATAGACACTCTCATCCTTGTAGTATCTGAATACGTTTCAGAAGTACATTAAACATACCAAATCTGCAAAAAGTGTTCTTTCCTTGCCATGCTATTTTGAGTGCATCTTTGTTGCACTGGATTTTTGCTAGCAAGCAAACGTATGTATATGAAAGTTATTGTAGATTTTAATTAATATTAAGGATTTTCATTCTACAGTTGTGAGCTACCCTTCCTGTAAAACTGACTTAGATGGCTGTACTGCACGGTAGCGGTGAATTTGTTTGCTTTCCTTATTGCAGAAAGTCATCTCATCTCTTTTTAAATATTGATGAACCCAGCCTTGAAGTCCTAAAAAATAAGAACTGAAATGTTGAATTTGGGTACACTTGAAAGATTTCACGAAGAATCGCTGTTGTAGCTGATGACAAGCTGCCAAATTCTGCTCTTAATAAAAGCTTTCTTGGGGCTGCCTGGCCATTTGATTATATGTAAAGTAAAGGCAGTGATTTTCATTTTTCCGTATATGGTAGTAACTGACTCTAGCTATATGATAGACACATATTTTTCTTAGAAAAGCAACGGTCGCAATTTTGGCTCCTAAAAATCGTATGTAGACACAGCCAAGCAGTGGTTTTGCTTTAAAATGCTGCCCTGATGCTGGAAGCGATTAATTTTTTGTGTTCCTCATGTGGCTGATCTTTTTTTCTGTGTACACATGTAGTTAAGTTTTTAACTGTCTTTGGTTTGTTTGACTAGAAAGCATGGTGAAGTCCTGACTCTGCTGTGTGCTGTGCTAAAACAAATAAGCATGGAAAGGATATCAAATTGACACCTACGATGCACTTACTTTTGGTCTTACTGAGTTTTTAAGTTATTCCTGCAATTTCAGTCTATACAGCTTAATTTTCATGTGAAATACTATTTTAATATTACAGATAGCAAAGCTTTGCTATTTCATGTAAGTGGAAAAAAACCACCACCAGAATCCAGCTAGTCTGGCTGCATTTGCATTTATCACCTCAGTCATTTGTAGGGGAGCTATGTGGTGCTTGAAAAAAAAACTTAATTTTGATTGTGAGTTAATTTCTTTGTAGTTCTGTCCAGTGTGCTCATTAGATAAAGCACAGTGATATACTGGGAAATTTGGTGGTGATTCAAATATACTTAACTATTTATTTCCTAAGAAAAATACAGATTACTATGGATTACCTAGAAAGAAAATTCCTGACCTTAAGTTGTTTTATTTATTGTCCACATATATTTTATCTATTTGGACATAAAGATATGATAACCTGGAGACTCTTATTAGAACAAAAGGTGAGAACAAAAGGTGGCAAGAAGACAATATGAACTAAATGTTGCTTTAATTTTAAGTAAATCAAATAGGATTTTACAGTCTGTGTTCTTTGAGGAGCATTCTGATTTAACATATACTGTCATATTTTAAAATATTATACCAATCTCATTGATTCCCTTTTCCACTTCTGATTTCAGATTTTTTTTTTTAGCTTGAAAAATAGAATAATCTGTAGTTAAAAATTCTTTTGAAAGGTACTAAATACAAATGCATTGGCTTTTATGAAGTACTAATTGTTAAATGGTCACAATCTGCCTTGAGATAACATGGATTTTAAAAGCTGAAGTAACCACTCTAAAGGAAGATTCTCAAGTGAAAACCAAACCCCCTTAGGCTTTTTGAAGGGAGAGTATGCTTGGAGGGGAGATGTTCAGCAAATGAGTAGCGTGCTCCGATGGCATGAAGCTCCTTGGACTGAAGCTCGTTTTACTTCAGCATGTTGCGGAAACTAATTTTTTTGCATACTTCTTAATATATATATATTTTTTTTTTAATCAAGTTGGATCATAATTCTTCCCTTCTTGTTGAAAGCATGTCAAAATAAACTGTAATTGAACTATTAAAATGATAGGGAAGGCTGGTAGCAACTGATGGGGTCAGTTTACATTGGAGCACAACACGAATGGATTCTCAGTCCCCTTCCTGAACCTTGAAGTGGTGCATATCCATAGGTGGTGTTACAGCATCTCTTGTTAGCTTGTGCTTAGGGCCAACACTGGGGGACTTAAGAGTGCATGTGTTTCAAATGCAATTAAATTGTCATCTCAGGAACCCTGAATTTATTAATTTGAGCACTGTGCTGTTGTTAGGATGCAGAACCATCTTGGGAGTTGGTGCATTCCTTCCAGCTTGAGAGAATACTAGTCCTGTGGAAAATGTAGAGTTTGAACATTGTTCCTTTAGAATATTGTTTATACAGTGCTAGTTTAGTGGCAAGCATTGCACTGTATTAACCCAAAAATGTTTACTTCCTTAAAAACCCATTCAATGACATGTGAGAATTTAATAACAATGGAAGGGTTGACTAAAAACTTGCAATGCTTAATTTCAGGTATAATCTTTTCCACTGGATTGGCTTTTTGTTGCCTTTTGGGATATAGCGTAAAATATACTTAGTAGATGGTCTCACCAATTTGGAGTTTTGCTGTTATGAAGATATCTGTTTTGTTAATAGTTTTGGGGTTTTCCCCATAAAATATTTAAAAAAACATAGCTGTAGGCATTTCAGGTTTGTATTCATAATAATCCACAAAAAACTGAAGTTTAATAGAATTATCTATGTCTAAAATGTAAGTTGAACAGATAAACTGAACATTAAATTTTCATGAAAACAATACTTTTAATGATTTTAAATGCATGGAAACAGGCCCTCAATGTGTCTGTTTTCAATGGGATAGATTTAATAGGTCTTTTCCATCTTTAACTTCCTGAAGGTACTATAAAAATTAATATAATAGGAATTTGGAGGTATTCATGTTAATGACCTCAGCCTGATTACTAAAAGCAGAAAGGGATGGCTTTCTTCAAAAAAGCAGTTTAGAACAGCAACTGTTTTTTCCTAATTGAAGGAACTATTCAGAAAAGTTTAAGTTCAGAGCATGCTTATAGGTAAACCTATTTAAATAAACTGCTTTCGTATAATGATTATTTTATACCCAAATTACATTAAAAGAAAAAAAATAATCCTTGTAAATGTGGGTAAAAGCTTATTGATTTGTATGTAGTCCCTCAAATAGAGGACAAAATACTCATAAGAAGAGGTATGAGATTCAAAAGGAACTTAACTGTGTTACTGCATACATGTGTTGATAAGTTTTTTCCATTTGTTTTGGTAAATTGTTTGTCTAGAGCTATTGTTCCTAGTTTTACTAGTGTGCTTTTTAATCTTAATTTCTGTAGAGTAAAGCATAGCTGTATAATTTGATTGAATTTACATGCAAACTGTATGTGGGACATTAAGTGCTTGACTTGAAAGAAGTGCAGTGAGAATAAAGATACTGTTCTTGCCTTCAATTTCTCAGTAAAAAAAAATAATTGCGTAGATCCTTGTACCGGAATAAGTGTGAAAGGTCCTGTATGTGAATTTGAAAAAAGATGGGGGAGGGAGAATAAAGTAACATAATGAAAATGGGAGAAATGTGGTTTAATTTTACATCTATAGCAGATTCACAAAAATAACTTCAATGCTTGTTGTACATGAAAAGCACAAACTAATTTTTAATGGAAAAGATGGAAATACCAGATACATCAGTATCTTTGATATTTTAAACTTGGAGTTTAGTGTTGTGTAGATGGCCAAAGAATATGAAAAAAAAATATGAAATGAATTGATGTTCTATACAATTTTAATATGCATGGGATGTAGGGTGGGCTCACTGCAGTTGAATATGTTTCTTCTGTGTTGTTGTTATGAAATCGTTCTGTAGGACTTGGGTTTTGTGGCTGAATACAGCAGCTGTATAACAGCGTACACACCTTGTGTTGTCCTAAGTATGAAACAGCTGATTTTAAGATTGTTAGCCTCCCCTCAAACCAGTGAGAATCCAGGCTTAGACCTATGTCAGAGCCAGAAAAGCAGCAAACAGAAGATGGTGTAAAGGAAAATAAAATAGTGGGTACTTTATTAGTAATTAGGGAATAGGGTTAAGGTGTTTTCATTAGTTTTTTGGCCTTAAATTTACTGTAATCAATTTTTTATTTATGTGAAAGGGCAAGTAATTTTATTCTCAGTGAATATTGAAAAAAAAAAACAGCCACCCACCAAAACGATACATCCCTCCCCCACAAAAACAGTGCCTAACACCCCCCTCCCAAGCAAAAAACAAGTTTTCACTCTTTAAATAACCACATATACCTAAGCAAGGTGGAAGAGGAAATGTAGTAAATCTAAAAAGATGTAAAAACCACAAGGTTTTATTGTAATTCTTTTTGCAGCTGTTTGCTCCTGGTGTTTTGGGCGTTTTATATGTTTCGGTTTTTTAAAAGCTCCATTACTGTTTGTTATCTGCTGTAAAAGGATTTATTCTGTTACTAAGTTTTAAGTATTTTTATCTGAGGTAAAATTGCAGGGAAAAACCCTGCATAAACCAGCTATGGCACTACTGTAGATTGCAGTCTTTGAACTGCCAGCTGGAAGCGGTCTTTCGAGCTGCTCACAAATGTTTTAAATGGTTGTATGCTAATGGACAATTTGAATTCATGTGCATATTTAAAAATAATAATCCATGTATTGCTGCGGATCGCTCTTTGCCCTCCTTGCTGCTTGGTCCTGCTTCCTGCCTGCTTTGTGCCACCCTTGCACCTCTGTGCCCGTGCGGTGAGCGGGGTAAAAGAGACCCGGGGAAAGTTACTGATTCTGCTCATTTTGGTGTGGAAGGAAAGAACAGCAAGGAGTGGGCAATAGCGTGAGACTCTTCCTAACTGTGGTCATAGGTTAGTTTGTGCTGTATCAACATCTCTGTGCCACATAGAGAATGTAGTTTTATGTACGTGTTTGGATGACTTCTCAGTGCTTCTAAGAAATACCTAGCTTAGAACAAATAGGTGAGAAATATGTTGAGGGCTTGAGGTGTCTGAATGGCACGGTTATGTTTTACGTTCTTAGTGATAGTTGGCCCAAGAGGGCAAGTATTTGAAGTAATGAAGAAAAAAAACTGTACACTAAAGTGTTGAGCCAAATTATATGTGAGCTTGATCTGTCTGTTCGTTTTCTGCAGTTGCCAAGAAGGTTACATGCCAGCCAGTAAAATATGGAAAATAGTGTTCTTCATGATTTCTCCAGGAAAGATGATATACACAGTTGCTTTAGAGAAGCAAGACTATTCACATGTGCTTTTTCTTGAAGAAAATATGTGGACTGCAATTACAAAGATGAGAAATACTGTCTTTTAAAATGCTAACACTGTTCATTCTTTGATACAATAGCACCGAATTGTTGATATTTTATATTCCACATTTAAGGGAGAGAGCATGTGAAAGGTAAGCTGCAGCTCCAGTTCTAATCAACTTCAAAAGCCTTTTCCAGAAGGCACAGAAAGAAAAGTCTAATAATGAAACAGTAATTCATCTTCACTTTTGTTCCAATGTGGAACATTGTGCTTTTAGAACTTCCAGCGTTGTATCACATTTGACATTTTCAGAACCAGAGCTGTGCTAAGTAATACAAATAAAGTTTCTGCCTGAGTGTGTGAAGAATGCAATTGCTACATTTCAAAAACTGAATGTTCAGAGTTTTGAAAGAAAATGTATGAAATAATTGTCATATATTGAATTACTGCTTTAAAAGTGAAAACTTTTGACTTTATGACAACTTGGCAGGTGGGATGGCTATGCCTTAAGAACCATGTTGCTATATGTGCCAGTTTATCGTTGCCATGTTATGCTTTGTGTAGTTTTTGTAATATCTCTTAATGCATGTTCAGCATCATTCTTGCATCACAGTTGTGTACAGTTTCATATTTTATTCACACTGCTGAATGCAAATGTCTGTAGAAGGGGATACTAACACATTTGTAGCTACTGATGTAGGATGTAACTCATTGAGAAGAGTTTTTCATTGCTACGCTTGCTTTCTGTTTTGTGTTTGCTCTGCATGTTTTCTGCAAAATATACTTTTTCTATTGCATATGGGGAAAAAGTAGCAAGTTGTGAAAATGCATTTGTTGGGAAAGTTAATGGATGTCCTGGATGCCTCTTACTGCTTCTAAAGTGACAGCTGGCTCAGGGAAGTAACATCGCTTGGTATACTTTTATGCATGATTACATCTAGATTTTTATCTTGCTTATGGACAATTTCAGTACTAATGTTAAAGACAAAAAAAATTCTGAGTTTTAGTTCCCATAGATAATCTGGTTTAATTGAAAGCATATGGACAAAACAGCAAATTAATTATAGATGACTTGATGTTTGCTCTGAATAGTACTGTAACTCCGAACTTGTATTAAACATAAAAAAAATAATTAGTTTGAGTTTCATCATTCTAAAAGTGAAACTTTAAATATTGTATTGAGTAAGAGTACTCCAATCCACTGGGGGCGGGGGAAGGTACAAATCTGTGGAGAAATCATGCTCTTGTTTTGAATTGCATATGTTCCTGGGCATGCACTTTTTACTTTTTAAATTGGAACCGTTGTGCAAAACTTTATAACAAATACTTAAGTGATATAATTTGTTGTATTTTACCCAGTTATAAATATTGATCTATTGTTAGCATCTTAAAAATATAATTAGATTAGGTACGAGTGCTTTACTGGAGATGATGGCACGTGGTGTGAATATCAGAAATAGGATAATTCAAGTGATGGTAGTTACTGAAGACTGATAATATGTTGTGCCTTTAAGCCTACTTGGATAAAAGCAGATATTGAGCATTTTTCTTACTACCTTTGAAATTTATTTTCATGTATCTTTTTCTTCTTCCAGTTAGGTATAAACCTGAGTTTCCTAGGTGTCTCATCTTTTTGGGAAATAAATACTGGTACTAAAAGTCTGTCCAGAACCTTGATACTACATTTACATTTCTGCTTTATTGCTGTAGTAGTCACAGAAGTACTCACAGGTTTCAAAGTGTCCATCTGGATTTTTGGGGGAGGGTAAGGGGCTGGTTATTATATGTTGCTTAATTCTTCAGGCCTCAGGTGGGAAAACTGGTAATGTAGAATCTTCTTCATATTATTGTAAAAAAAATAATCAAAATTGTTTAAAAATCTGGTATTCTGGTATCTTCATCCCAGTGCCAAGGAAGCTGAATGGTGTCTTTACAGAAGATGGAAAAAACTTTATTTTACTACAGGTCTTGGCATATTTATGAAGTATTTGAGCTCTAAATCTTTCACTGGTCTGACATTGAGGACATTGTGTCTCAACCCTAACCTTCCATTAGTATTACGGTGAAAATCCTGCAAGCTTCTGCAAAACTTTTAGAAGGGATGTGAGGACGTAATGTGACAGAGTGACTATAGGACTGTGCCAAATCAGTCATCTTTGAAGAGTGTCACTGGCCTGTTCTGGGTATTGTTATCTATTCCACTTAGGACTTTGTTTCCTATTCTCTGTTCCAGGTTTTCTTTTATTGTAAAAGGCTTTAACTTTTCCTGATGATGTGGAGGATGTGAGCTGTATAAAACTTTATTTGGGGATTGTAATACTGAATTAGATGGAAATGGGTTAAAGGAAATAATTAGATGCACAGTAAAAAGAGATCTTTATATGATTTGGCAAGTCATTATGTATCTGCCCATAAGTGCTTTGTTAGTATATGAATGTATATGAAAGTATATCATGTATGTATTCTTAACCTGTTGCGTTGTTGAAAAGGATTTATGGGTCTTTCTGAGGGGGGGCAAAATGAGACTTCGTTCTGGATTAAAGTTTCTCTTTTGTGTAAATCAATAAATAAGTCACAGAATACATGGGAACTTAAAAAATAGATAGGTACCCTTTCTTGACTCATAGGTGTTTGGAAAAATAAAAGTAAGTGCTCTTCATGGATGTAGAGATGGGAGGGATAGTAACATGGAAAACCATGAAGATGTGGTTTCACCTCATCTTTCAGTTTATTTCTTCTAAAAATTTGGAAGCTACTAGAGAATTAAGAACCCCAAATATGACTCTTGATAAATTTCATTTAAAATTCTTAAATATTGTTTCGGAGTTCTGCTATAAAGGAAACTGGTTCAGCATAAGCATGCAAATAAAATACATGCTTTAATGGACAAAGTAAGTCTGAAAGACTGTTTCATTAAGATATGGGGAGGAGTACTGTTATTGAGGAGTTGGCTGTATTTACTCTTATTTTTAGCTTTTGTCTACATAACCTTAAAGGAACAGAGGCGAAACTTTATTAATGACATGCAGGAAAAGACTAAATGTACAAGACAAAATTATGATGAGAAAGGACTGAAATTCAAATACGTGTAACTTAATCTACGGATGCTTCCAATAGAGGACTTCTGTCATGAGTTTAGAGAGCTCCTCCTTAAAAACAAATGCTGCCCTAATCTGGTCCTGCTCTTACTGAAGGAAAATGTTATCTTTTCCTTGATCCTGACAAAATAGGAATAGGACTGTTGCCACAGTGATGAATCTGAGTAGTTGAACAGTCAGCACATGAAGTAGCTGCTTCTGCTGATGGGGTGTGTGACTTCCTGGGCATGCACTTTTTACTTTTTAAATTGGAACCGTTGTGCAAAACTTTATAACAAATACTTAAGTGATATAATTTGTTGTATTTTACCCAGTTATAAATATTGATCTATTGTTAGCATCTTAAAAATATAATTAGATTAGGTACGAGTGCTTTACTGGAGATGATGGCACGTGGTGTGAATATCAGAAATAGGATAATTCAAGTGATGGTAGTTACTGAAGACTGATAATATGTTGTGCCTTTAAGCCTAGTTGGATAAAAGCAGATATTGAGCATTTTTCTTACTACCTTTGAAATTTATTTTCATGTATCTTTTTCTTCTTCCAGTTAGGTATAAAACTGAGTTTCCTAGGTGTCTCATCTTTTTGGGAAATAAATACTGGTACTAAAAGTCTGTCCAGAACCTTGATACTACATTTACATTTCTGCTTTATTGCTGTAGTAGTCACAGAAGTACTCACAGGTTTCAAAGTGTCCATCTGGATTTTTGGGGGAGGGTAAGGGGCTGGTTATTATATGTTGCTTAATTCTTCAGGCCTCAGGTGGGAAAACTGGTAATGTAGAATCTTCTTCATATTATTGTAAAAAAAATAATCAAAATTGTTTAAAAATCTGGTATTCTGGTATCTTCAAAACTTCCCAGTGCCAAGGAAGCTGAATGGTGTCTTTACAGAAGATGGAAAAAACTTTATTTTACTACAGGTCTTGGCATATTTATGAAGTATTTGAGCTCTAAATCTTTCACTGGTCTGACATTGAGGACATTGTGTCTCAACCCTAACCTTCCATTAGTATTACGGTGAAAATCCTGCAAGCTTCTGCAAAACTTTTAGAAGGGATGTGAGGACGTAATGTGACAGAGTGACTATAGGACTGTGCCAAATCAGTCATCTTTGAAGAGTGTCACTGGCCTGTTCTGGGTATTGTTATCTATTCCACTTAGGACTTTGTTTCCTATTCTCTGTTCCAGGTTTTCTTTTATTGTAAAAGGCTTTAACTTTTCCTGATGATGTGGAGGATGTGAGCTGTATAAAACTTTATTTGGGGATTGTAATACTGAATTAGATGGAAATGGGTTAAAGGAAATAATTAGATGCACAGTAAAAAGAGATCTTTATATGATTTGGCAAGTCATTATGTATCTGCCCATAAGTGCTTTGTTAGTATATGAATGTATATGAAAGTATATCATGTATGTATTCTTAACCTGTTGCGTTGTTGAAAAGGATTTATGGGTCTTTCTGAGGGGGGGCAAAATGAGACTTCGTTCTGGATTAAAGTTTCTCTTTTGTGTAAATCAATACACAATAAATAAGTCACAGAATACATGGGAACTTAAAAAATAGATAGGTACCCTTTCTTGACTCATAGGTGTTTGGAAAAATAAAAGTAAGTGCTCTTCATGGATGTAGAGATGGGAGGGATAGTAACATGGAAAACCATGAAGATGTGGTTTCACCTCATCTTTCAGTTTATTTCTTCTAAAAATTTGGAAGCTACTAGAGAATTAAGAACCCCAAATATGACTCTTGATAAATTTCATTTAAAATTCTTAAATATTGTTTCGGAGTTCTGCTATAAAGGAAACTGGTTCAGCATAAGCATGCAAATAAAATACATGCTTTAATGGACAAAGTAAGTCTGAAAGACTGTTTCATTAAGATATGGGGAGGAGTACTGTTATTGAGGAGTTGGCTGTATTTACTCTTATTTTTAGCTTTTGTCTACATAACCTTAAAGGAACAGAGGCGAAACTTTATTAATGACATGCAGGAAAAGACTAAATGTACAAGACAAAATTATGATGAGAAAGGACTGAAATTCAAATACGTGTAACTTAATCTACGGATGCTTCCAATAGAGGACTTCTGTCATGAGTTTAGAGAGCTCCTCCTTAAAAACAAATGCTGCCCTAATCTGGTCCTGCTCTTACTGAAGGAAAATGTTATCTTTTCCTTGATCCTGACAAAATAGGAATAGGACTGTTGCCACAGTGATGAATCTGAGTAGTTGAACAGTCAGCACATGAAGTAGCTGCTTCTGCTGATGGGGTGTGTGACTGTCAGAGCCTTCCTTGGGCTTTGAATATGGTAGTGCTTTCAGATGTTTCAGCAGTTGCTTCATCTGCCTCAGGTAATGAAGTTCCTTTATGGCTACAAGGATGCTTTTCAAAGTCTTCATCTCTTCTGCGAAAAGTGGCAGCTACTACAGTTGGGTGTTGAGGGTGGTGTAGTCATGGAGCGCTTAAATCAGCATTTGCTCTTGCCAGCTACAGTCTTGTTAGTTTGCACCTTTCCAGTCCTAGCAGTGTGCTTCCAGTTGTTACCTTTCGTGAATTATAAATGTGGTATTCTCAATGAGGTATTGATCTGAGCAAGCTTGAGTAGAGACTTAAGAAATAATACATACAAATTTCCAAAAAATATGAGCCACTTACACTTGTATTGTCAATGACACAAATTCCTTTGATAATTCAGGCTGTGTTACAGAAAATGAACCTGTTGGATGATTATTTCAGTCTGATTCCCTAATTTTGTAATAAAGATATGAAGACCTGTTACTGCCTCCAGTTGATGAGGTTCATCTTTAAGCTACTTGGATATTTGCACTTAGTTTATGGTGAGGAGTAAACTAGAGCCACTCAAAGTTCATGCATAAGTCTACCCTGTCAGAGCACAGTAGGCAGTCAGGTGCTGATCAGATCTGAGATTTTGCAGAGCTCAGAAAGAAAGTAAATTGACCAAAATAGCATGTTAAATAAGATGGAAATAAAGTTGCAAGAAAGGCAAGAACAAGTTTGAGTTGAAC